CAGATCAATGGAGAGGAGAGACAAAGATGTTCCATATTCTGGTTCACTCCCCAAGTGGCTATAGCAGCTGGAGCTGAGTCAGTCTGACGCCAGGAGCTTCCTCCAGGTCTCCCACAAGGACATGGGGTCCCAAGGCTTTGAGCCATACTCCACTGATTGCCCAGGCCACAAGCAGGGATGGATGGGAAGTGGAGTAGCCAGGGCATGAACCAGTGCCTATGTGGGATCCTGTGCTTGAGGGGGGAAGATTAGCCAGCTGAGCTGTTGCACTGGGTCCATATTCCTGCATTTTCACTAAACCTTTGTTTGCAGGTTTAGTTTTAATTTTTTGAAGCTGTATTCATTTAAGAGTTGAGGAGAAGGTAGGATGGGGGAGAGAGAATATTTTCAAGTGCTTGTTCACTTCCCAGATGGCTGCAGTCAGGAGCCAGAAGCTTCGCCTGGGGCTCCCTTGAGTTGACTTGGCATTCTTCAGCTGCTTTTCCCTGGTCCTTCACAGGAGGCTTGACGTGGGGCAGCTGGGACTCCAGATGACACCGTATGGCAGGTGGTCACCTTCCTGCTTTACCACGTGCCAGTCCTTACTTTTATTTTTAACTTATAGAAATTTATGTAAAAAATTTCATGTATTTGATCTTACCTGTCCTTTTGTTTGCTTTTGGCTGCTGTTTTGAATGGGGGCAGCATGTTTTCTCTGCACTGTTGCAAGGGTATCCTCCCTGTTCACAGACGCGTGAAGACAAGCTCTGTCATGGGATGCAGGAAGACCCAGATCCGCCAGGTTTCTCCTGTTGACAGAGCTAGGACGCTCGGGATGGGTGTTTGAGAGCTGCGAGGGTGTGGGCTGCTTGTGTGCACCGGAAGCCGCTGTGGGGAGAAGTGGCCGGCCTGTGCTTGCCAGGCCTCTGCACTGCGTTCCTGGGGACGAGTCCTCAGAAAATGCTTGCATGCCTACGAGCTGCCACTCTGCCTGTCCCGGAGGGAGCAGAGAATGCTGGACCCCTCTGCTCCCAGAGCTAGGCTTTTTGGGGATGTTGGCTCTCAGAAGGAACCCCTGTGAAGTTGGGGTGCTTTGCTGTGAGGTGGACAAGTGGGACTTTGGATTTTGGAGTTGCCCTGAGCCCTTTTCGCATCTGAGTGAAGCCCCTGGGAGTTTCCCTGCAAGTGTCCTCTGTCCCTTGTAGAGGTTGAGTCAGCAGTAAGTCCCAGGGAGCTTAGAGTTAGGTGCTGTCCATGGGGGCCGAGTCTTGCCCTCCGGGTAGGGGCTCGCTGCGTTTTGGGGATCCCTTTGCTGAATTTCCAGGGAGTGCGTGGTCGGGGTGTGGCCTCAGTGTGCCTTCGCCTTGCTTATTGTTAGGTGTGAGAGTTCCTTAATTATGTGGTGAGCAGGCGGCAGGGAACTGGTCTGTGAGCAGACGTGTCTGTGCAAGGAGAGAGAGACATTTTCAGTCCTTGTCATCTTGTTAATTGAATTACTTTAGCTTCACTGATTTCTATAGAATTCTAGGTTACTTATATAATTGTACATACTAAAAAAGAATTGCAGAAACACAGTTTATAGTCTGCAGGGTGTGAACAGTGGTTTCTGTGGAGGGTCCTGCATTTCCCAGGACATTAGCAATAGACATGAGACTGTCTTTTTTTCCTGTTTGTGCTTTTTTTTTTTTAAGATTTGTTTATTTTTATTACAAAGTCATATATACAGAGAGGAGGAAAGATAGAAAGGAAGATTTTCTGTCCGATGATTCACTCCCCAAGTGAGCGCAATGGCTGGTGCTGCGCCGATCGGAAGCCAGAAACCAGGAACCTCCTCCGAGTATCCCACAGGGGTGCAGGGTCCCAAAGCTTTGGGCCGTCCTCAACTGCTTTCCCAGGCCACAAGCAGGGAGCTGGATGGGAAGCTGAGCTGCCGGTATTGGAACCGACACCCATATGGGATCCCGGCACGGTGAAGGCGAGGACTTTAGCCGCTAGGCCACACTGCTGGGCCCTGTTTGTGCTTTGATTGCCCAGCTTAAGGCCACTAGACTTGCTTCCTTTCTTGTTTTCTGCTTTATTTGAGGTGAAGAGAGAAAGTCAGCTACCATCTACTGGCTTATTCCTTCAATGCCCACAGCTTATGACTGGGCCATGCTAAACCTGGCAAGCAGGTGTTCGGTCTAAATCTCATGGGTGGCAGCCCCCCACCCCCCCATAAGCCAGCACGTGCTGCGCCCAAGGTGCGCTTTAAGAGAGAGGTGGAGCTGAGCAGAGTTCAGGCCTTGACCCCAGGTATTCTGACATGGAATGGCAGTGACTTGAGGTGTTGAAACACCTATACCAGTAGGTTCTTTTTAGATTTATTTTTACTGGAAAGTCAGATTTACAGAGAGAAGGAGACAGATCTTCCAACCACTGGTTCATGCCTTAAGTGGCCGCCATGGCTGGAGCTGAGCCAATCTGAAGCCAGGAACCAGGAGCTTCCTCTGGGGTCCCATGTGGGTACAGAGTCCCAACGCTTTGGGGCATCCTCAACTGCTTTCCCAGGTCACAAGCAGGGAGCTAGGTAGAAAACAGGGCATCTGGGACAACAACCGGTGCCCATATGGGATCCTGGTATGTGCCAGGCAAGGACTTCAGCCACTAGGCTACCACCCCAGGCTCCAGTAGGTTCTTTAATGATAATGCTTTTTGGGATTGGCATAATGTCTCAGCTGACTAATTTTCCCCTGGAAGCATCAGAATCCCATGTGGGCGCTGGTTCCTGTCCTCACTATCCCGTTTCCCATTCAGCTCCCTGCTCGTGGTCTGAGAAAGCAGTGGAGGATGGCCCAAAGCCTTGGGACCCTGCACCCACGTGGGAGACCTGAAAGAAGCTCCTGGCTCCTGGCTTTCTTCAGCTCAACTCCGGCTGTTGTGGTCATTTGGGGAGTGAACCAGCGGATGGAAGATCTTTCTCTTTGTTTCTCCTTTGCTTTGTGAATCTTTCCAAAGAAAATATTTAAATGTTTTTTTTAAAAAAGAGAATTTTTAGGGGGAGAAAGAGGATTATAAATTTCTGCTCAAAAGCACTTCCAGAACCAAGCTTCTTATGGAACTAGGTTATTAAAAAACAAGCGGCCTCCACAAAGGCCAGGGGTTACAAATCCTGATGTGTTTTGTCACCCTTGGAAAGGAGAGTTTAGTCCTGGACATTTAGAATGTAGTGGTGTGAAAGTTTTATATACACATACTGTGTGAGGCTTTGCGATGCCCTGGAGGCCCTTCATCAAACCTGGTTGTTTTTGTAGCTTTTGGTTTCAAATAGTCAGCAGTAATGTGTTCCTTGTGGTCACTTGACCCCAGCATCCCAGTGGGAATTACCAGTTCAGTTACTCTAGAATAGAATCTGTTGTCTTTTTTCAGTAAAGTAGTTGAAGTCTAGAATATATATTGCCTTTTTAAATACAGCATTTGAAACATTAGGCATAAGGATCAGAGAGTTCTGTGTTGGTTATTCAGAGGAATTGGAGGTTTTGATGCCTCCTTCCTCACCCTCCTTTCCCTTCCTCACTGGCTTGCTTTGTGGATCGTTAGCAGTTCTGCGGTGCCTAGCATTTTATGTGATGTTTAATTTACATTTACACTGATTCTCCATATTACATGAATAACTAATGCACTTGGATGTTGATTGCAGTTAGTCTCAGGAAGTATGTGCTCTCTTTAAGGTTTAGTTATTGAAAAGGCAGATTTACAAAGAGAAGGAGAAACAAAGATATTTCTGCTGGTTCACTCCCCTAACGGCTGCCACAGCTGGAGCTGAGCTGGTCTGAAGCCTGGAGCATCTTCTGGGTCTCCCACACAGGTGCAGGGTCCCAAGGCTTTGGGTCATCCTTTACTGCTTCCCAGGCCACAGGAAGGGAGCTGGATGGGAAATGGAATAGCCAGGACACGAGCCGGCGCCCATATGGGATCCTGGTACTTTGAAGAGTGGGGGGGGGGGGGAATTAGTGAATTCAGCCATTCTGTTGGTCCCAGAACATGCTCTTTTTAAAAGGCATGTTTTGTGGTGGGTGTATGTATATACTGTTTTAACTGCTGTAGCCATTTTTAAGTATACACTTGACAGGTATTAAGAGTATTCATGTTGTTTGCAACCATCACCACTCCTTTTCCAGAGTTTTTCCATCAATTCAGACAGGAGCTCCCTATTGAACAGTAATTCTTTCCTTTCTGCCAATCCCTGGCAACTCACTCTGCTGCTTTCTCTCACTGTGAATTTTCCTGGGAGTTAGCTTTCTTCCCTTTTTGTATGTCAGCTTAATGGTTTGTGCTTTATACTTGGCAGCAGTAAAAAGTTCATAGTGTTTCTGGGTCTTGTTTGTTGAATACTTGGTAAAATTTTCTTTTGCTTGGGGATAGGCTGGAGTGAGGAGCTGCGGGAGCTGTGGGCTTAGCTGAGGGCTCTGCCAGTGGGCGCGCACGGCCCCCTTGCTGCTGCTGACGGGTCTCCCCTTTGTTCCCTAGGACTTGGATGTCGTGGGGGATGGCATGCAGTGCCCTCCATCACCTTTGCTCTTTGATCCTTCACTGACCCTTGAAGATCATTCAGTCAAAGAAGTTGCTGAAGGCGCAGTGGATGTTTTGGCAAGTGAAAAATGCCAGCCCGGGTTCCTTCTGGCTGATGGGAGGGGTGTGGCATCGCAGGTGGACTGAAAAAGTTCCCCCAGAGAGGAGGCTTTCCCCCAGTAGTGACACTGTAAGGCAGGCACGTCAAAGAATAATGCCCAGATGGGCCCTTAGAACCTCTGATGGCTCCTGATCCTTGTTCCAGAGTGGGACATGAATTTAAATAAAAGGTTAAGAACCTGAAGAGTTTTGTTAGGAGTTTTGTTACCTGTTTATTGTCAGAGTATTTGAAGTTGAAACCAAGACAAAATTTGTTTCAATTCATTATGTATTAACTGAAAAGGGTTGAGACCCGAAATCACTGTGTTAGGGAGAGTTTGGCTCTCTCTGAATCGTGTGGGGGGTGGGTGCCCATGGCCCTCACTGAAGACCAGCAGTTGTACTGTGGCTGTTGGTTTCAAGCAGAGGCCTACAGCACTGTCTCTGTGGTCTGGTGGCTGTTCTGGAACCTCATCGGAGAATGGCTGTTTGATTGAACAGAAACAAAGCATAGCTCTGTCTGCCATCTGGGGAGCCTCAGGAATGCTGCAATAGCTTCTGACCTTGAGGGACAGGCCAGCCAGAGGTGTGGAGTAGAACTGTCCAGGATTATTTATTTCTGTTATCTTGTTCTTGCAGCTAGAAATGGGCATTGATCAGTGAGATTCAGACGCCACAATGGATAAATGAGTTCCTAACCCAAGGTGCCTTTCTTTAACAGGGCCAGATTCAACTGGCTGGAGATGGGTGCAGAAACCAGGGATCTCGACATGCTGAGAAAGCTCCCGCACAGTTGCCTCCGAGTGCTTTGGCTACTGCAAATGGGAAGCCCGAGCCCTCCGCCCTCAGTTGACAGGTTGCTTTGGAAACCATTTGACTTTGGTGGAGTTGAACTTCCCATTCTTTACACAAGTGTCCGTGAGCATCTCTCGCTCAGCACTGGCAATCCAGACTGCTTTGGTTTTCCTCTGCATTGAGGTCTACAAGCATAAGTCCACCTTTTGGGAGAACGGAACTATATTGTTCTAAAGTTGTAGGATTCTTCCTGCCCTGGGTAAGGTAGAGATAATGTTAGAGCTTGTTAGAGCTTCTGGGATTGGATGGCGGCTGGGGTTATGTCTACGAGGAAAGACTTCTTTGCGTTGCGATTTCCCAAGTCCGTGGCAGGAATCCACAGAGACGGGCAGTATTTGGAATCCTGGTAGCCTTAATGTCTGGTTGTCTGAGACCTGCTTCCCTCACCTCCATTTCATTGGGCAGCCTGAATCCTCCCCCCAGTGTACTCTACTTTTATTCCTCAGAAAGTAGCTCACAGGCCTGGGCTCTCCTTAACTATCCGTCTTGTTTATAACCTATGTAAATTTCTATGGTGGCTAGCTTATGTTTGACATATTAAAAATTTATTGTATATAGTTTCTAATAAATGTTATTAAAATATTAAAAAGTCACCTTAAGTGAACGCATACTTTGTGTTAGAGTGTCTTTGTTTCTGGGTGTTAGAGGGCTTTCTGATGGGGGCAGGAAAAATGAGACACGTAATCTCTTTTTTTAAAAGTTCGTTTTTCCTGGGAAAGCAGATGTACAGAGAGAAAAGAGACAAAGATCTTCCATCCATTGGTTCACTCCTTGTGTCTCCAATGGCCACAGTTGAGCTGATCTGAAGCCAGGAGCCAGGAACCTCCTCTGGGTCTCCGATATGAGTGTGGGGTCCCAAAGCCTTGGGCCGTCCTTCACTGCTTTCCCAGGCCACAGGCCGGGAGCTGGATGGGAACTGGAATAGCCGGGAAACAAACTGGCACCATATATGATCAGGCACATGCAAGGTGAGGGTTAGTAACTATTAGGCTACCTCACCAGGCCTGAAACATAATCTCATTCTAAGAAGTAAGGCTTTCAGTAGTTAGTAGTTGGTTTTACTTTTTTTTATTAGAGCCATCGCACTGAGCCTTAAAATTTCAGAAAAGAAAAAAATTTTTTTTTTAGTTTCCCGTTGTTTTTATTAGAAAGTCAGATATACAGAGAGGAAGATCTGAATCACTCCTCATGTGGCCACAACGGCCAGAGCCCATCAGATGCCAGGATCCTGGCGCTTCCTCCAGATCTCCCACACGGGTGCAGGGTCCCAAGGCTTTGGGCCGTCCTTGACTGCTTTCCCAGGCCACAAGCAGGGAGCTGGCTGGGAAGTGGAGCTACTGAGACACTGTAACCCTCATGGGCACCATAGGGTATCCCAGCACATGCAAGGCAAGGACTTTAGCCGCTAGGCTATTGTGCTAGGTTCTTAAGTTTCTGTTTTAGATTTATTTATTGGAAAGGCAGATTTACAGGGAAGACGAGAGAAAAGATCTTCCATGTGCTGGTTCACTCCTTGGGTGGCTTCCATTGCCGGAGCTGAGCTGACCCAAAGCCAGGCGTTTGGAGTTTCTCGGTCTCCCGTGTGTGCAGGGTTCCAAGACTTAGGGTTGTCCTCTGCTGCTTTCCTAGGCCTCAAGCAGGGAGCTGCATGGGAAGAAGATTAGCCAGGTTTTTTTGTTTTCTTTGTGTTTAATTTGTAAGGTGGAGAGAGTGAGAGCAAATGAGAGATGTACACAGGTTCAGATCTGTCCACTGGTTTACCTCCCAAAGGCCCAGTACCACCAGGGCTGGGCTAGGCCGCGGCCAGGAGCCTTGGTCTGTCACGTGGGTGTGAGGAATCCAAGTGCTGGGGGTATTGTCTTCTAGGCTCTGCCTAAGCAGGAAGCTGCATCTGTCATCAAACCTAGTTGGATGTAGTCAACTGAAATGGCCCCGTGACTGCCATCCAGCTCCCATCTCTTCAAGCACCCCCCTCTCTGTGCATTTTTGGCTTCCAATTCCTGCTGCTTTGTAGGGAAATCTGGGAAGTCCCACTTCGCTGAGTGTTGGTGTCAACGTGTGGGTCAAAGATGCCTTGGTAGTAAGTTTGCCTCGTTTCTCACGTGTCTGGTCAGGATGTCAAATCCTAGCAGAGGGTGCTGCTGGTCTAATGACTTTTTGCTCGCATGGTCTCAGGTTCTTGTCTCCTTGTCCACGCACCATCAAAATCTAGTTTGGAGAGTGCTCCTTTTAAGGTCAAAAACAAGCTTCCTGTGCTTTGAAACTATAGTCTTCAGGAGATTGTATATGCTACTGTGTCTGTTACGCATTGGACCTTTTTTAAAATAAATATTGCATAACTTGGAAAAAAAATGCTCCTTTGATTCCTGTCAGTATATCCCATATTTTTTCAAGATGTATTTACTTGAGAGAGTTACAGAGCGGTGGGGGAAGAGATGTCTTCCATTAGCTGGTTCGCTGCTCAGATAGCCACAGTGGCTCCAGAGCTTGGCCCGGCTGAAACCAGGAGCTTCTGTTTCCGTTGTGGCTAGGAGAGGCCATTAGCCGGGAGCTGGACTGGAAGTGGAGCAGCCAAGACTTGAACTGGTGCCAATTTGGGATGCAGATGGCAACTTGTTCTTTCCTTTTACCAGACTCAGTACATTTCCAGCTGTGTTATGCTGGGGTTTAATCCTAACTGTTACCTGGTGTCAGTGGGTGAAGTGGAGGAGATTCTGGCAGGGGTTGGTGAAAAGGTCAGATGTTTTGTGAGAAGGAGCTTTAATGTCATGGGGAAAGTGCTGATCTTGGAAGAGTGTCTAGGTCTTTCCTGCAGGCCTGAGCTGGCTTTGCTAGCGGGCCGAGCCCTGGTCCTGCAAGCCTGGGCTGGCTTTGCTGGCGGGCCAAGCCCTGGTCCTGCAAGCCTGGGCTGGCTTTGCTGGCGGGCTGAGCCCTGGTCCTGCAAGCCTGGGCTGGCTTTGCTGGCGGGCCGAGCCCTGGTCCTGCAAACCTGGGCTGTCTTTGCTAGTGGGCTGAGCGCTGGGTAGTGGAGCTCCTCTGACCCGAGGCAGCGTCAGCAGCTAAGAAGTACTTTTTCTGAAGTCAGTCCCAGATCTGCAGGGCCCTCCTCTAGCGTCTTCTGTTTGCACTGCCCTTCAGGTGGTGGTTGCTTCTGTGATATCATAGTGTTCACTTGGTGACTTTCCAGTTCTCACACCCAATAGCAATTTTTAAAAATAATATATTTTTTATTTTGAATTTTGAATTATGTGGTACAATTCTGTGTAGACTAGGATTCTCCCCCGAAAAAACTCCCACCCCCTGACAGATATTCCTCATTTTATGGTGCAGTCCTTCATAAGGAATCATAATTCTATCAGTCTCTTATTTAAGTGTACCCCAACATTGGTACAGACAGTGTCAGTCCAGCATCCCATTGTCTACACATATCCAACAATTTCATTGGGAAGCCATTTTTCATCTGAAGGCAGAGATGCATGTTGCATTATACCCCCACATTTGGATATGATGGGCCCCAGTACTCCATCACTATACATTTCCATAACTGAGAAGCCATGAAACAAGGTCAACAACTGGTATGAGTTAGAATAACAGCCACAACAACAACAGCAACATCAACAACAAATAGCACCATGAAAAAACGCGCCACTGAGTGACCAACACATGAGTGACTAAAAGGAAACAAAAGTTTCTTGGGAAAAACGATGCCACCGTGTAATCCATGAGCCAGTGATGAATTCAACAAGAGAAAAGAAATTTGGAATAAATAAAACTGAAATAAAAATCATCAAAACAGATGGGATACAGCCAAACAAACAAAAACCAGTACGGATCGGATTATTGAAGTTACACTTTCCATGTTGGTTTCCTTATATAAGAGAGAACATACAGCATTTGTTCTTTAGTTATTGACTCATTTCACTGAGCGTAATGGTCTCTACTTGGGACCACCTAGTTGTAAATAGCATAATTTCATTCTTAGTAGCTGAATAATAGTCCATGGAGTAGATGTACCACAGTTTCTTTAACCACTCTTTGGATGCACATCTAGATTGTTTCCATGTCTTCGGTGTTGTAGATTGTGCTGCTGCAAATAAAGGATTACAGATCCCCTTCTTATATGCACATTTCATTTCTATTGGGTATATTCCTAGCAGCAGGATAGCTGGGTCATATGGCAGATTTATTTGCAATTCTCCAAGCACTCTCCATACTGATTTCCACAGTGGTTGTATTAGCCTACACTCCCACCAGCAGTAAAGGAGGGTGCCTTTCTCCCCACATCCACACCAGCAGGTGTTATTCGAGTTCTGAATGTAGGCCAGTCTCACTGGAGTTAGGTGGTACCTCAATGTGGTTTTCATTTGTATCTCTGATGACTAGGAAGCTGAGCATCTTTTCATATGTCTGTTAGCCATTTGAATCCTTTCTTTTGAAAAATGTCTGTTCATTTCCTTTGCCCATTTTGTTACAGGGTTGTTTTTGTTTGTTTCTTGCTGTCCCTGGGTTTCTGAAGCTGTTTATAAATCCTGGATATTAGTCCCCTACCACTTGTAAAATGTGCAAAAATTTTCTCCCATTCTGTTGGTTGCTGCTTCACTTTGTTGATTGTTTCCTTTGCTGCACAGAAGCTTTTTAGTTTGATGTCTCATTT